ATTTTTAGATATTTTAAGATAGAGATAGCGCATATTTTACGTTGAGAATTATATTAGTAGCTTATTATAGCTAGCGTAGCTCTTTAAAGCAGAAGGCTTTTCTATATCTTCTTACCTAGTATAACAGACCTTCTAGTATCTACGCTTCTAATATTAAAGTAGCTTCTATATTAAAGAACCTTCTCTTTACTACTTATACTTTCTCTAGAAACTTCTAAATATCGCATAGTATTATAAATCTACGAAAGAATAGAAGTTAACTAATAAGAAGCTAACTAATAGCTATTAGGAAAAGATTAATAATATAGGCACTATTATAGAGATACTATTTAGAGACTCTCTAGTTATAGAAAAATAGCTTTACATTGCTATATGCTAACTATAGGTTTATAAATTTATAAAATTAACTTTCTAAAGGTCTAAAGTATAAAACTATCTTACCTTAAGAAGCGTCTTATAACCTAGAGATTAATATTAATATTATTATGCTAGATAAAGATAATAATTTAGAAAGTAAGGAATAAGATAAATCTATTATAGCAAATTTTAGCTATATAAGCTAATATAATTATTGCTAATATAGTCTATAGAGTTAGCTCTTCTAGTTAGCCCTTTAACAGCGCTCTATACTATAGACTTGCCTATATTCTAGATCTTAGATTATCTTATATTCTTGCTCTTATTAACTATATTTCTAGTTAAACTAACGTTAGTCTCTATATAACAGGATACTCTATATAGTATAACGCTATAGATACTCTTTAATATAAGAAATTACACCTTATCTTTAAGTTGCACGATAGCTATATTAGAAGCTAATTATAATTTTACTGCTAGATATATTCGTTAACGTAAGCTATATAGTAGAGCCTTTAAACCTAAGTTATCTCTATTATTATAGTAGTTTTATAGTTATATAGTTATTATAACTTCTAATGCTACTAACTTCTTTTATAATATACTAATAGTCTTTCTCTAGATACGTTGCGCAGAAGAAATATATTACTAGTAGTTTCTATATATATTAGCTAGAGTATAAATAGCAGAGATATTAATACTAAGTATTCTTAATATAGTACTGCATTATAAAGATCTAGAAGTTCTTACTTACGCTAGTACTCTTTAATCTTAATATATAGTAGTACTCTTTAGCTCCTTAACTATAATGCTTTAATCTAATAATATTAAGATATATAATAGGCTAGTACTTCTTTTCTAGCTTATAGTTAACCTAAAGATAATTAGCAGAGTTTAAATTATCTAGAATCTATAATTTTAAATTATCTAAAGCGCTTTATTAGCCTTTAAATGCTTATAGATAGCTACGAACTTAGAGTTAGAAGCTTAAGACTCTAGATTATTATTAAAAATATTTTTAAAAGTATTTGCTGCCTCTTATAAGCTTTAGCAACGATAGCCTACTACGCTTAGAAGTTACTAACTATTTAGATAGCATCTCTTTTATATAAAGCTCTTTTATAGAAAGAGGTTAAGGCTAATTATCTTAGTAAGCTTAAGTAGAAGTATTAGCATTAGAAGTAATTAATCTATAAGCTTATATATTTTAAGAGTAGCAGTAACTTAAGCATAGCAAAGAAGCTTAGAATAATAATACGATTCTTCTAAATAGTAGGTAAGCAGACTATATTATACTAACAGCATCTAACTAGATTAAAGATAGTAAGTATTATAGAAAAGTACAAATCTTATTCTCTATATTATGCCTTTAAAGATAGCTAATAACAAAGTAATAAAAGAGTTATATAAGAACTAAAGCATAGATTATTATATAATATATTTTCTACTATGCTCTATATAATTCGCTTCGCAACTGCTAGCTATATAGAATAGTAGATAATTAACTTATAAAAGCGACGTAAAAGCGCCTTAGGATTATAGAATAATTATAGAAGTATATATTTCTTACTTTCTCTTAAATCTTCGCAAAACACCTACGTAGGCTCCTATTATATCTAAACTTTATTCTACTTCTTATATACAATATAGCCTTAATAGCTAGAAAATGTTTTTTGCAAATAAAAAAATATGCTCTTTAGCATTAGAGCGACTTTCTAGTAAGCTAGAAATGCAAGATAATAGCTATCTGCGTTTAAAGAGTTAAGTAAGAACTTAGCTATATATATATCTAAGTAGACTAAGCTAGTCTTTTTAGATCTCTATAGTAGGTTTATATAAAAGACTATAAGAAGAGAATTAGATTAACTTTGCTTCTATTATAGGCTCTTAGGCAATAAGTAGCTAATCTTTGCCTTAAGTATAGATAAGCTATCTCTAGTATCTATTCTAATAGAGTGCATAGTACTTATCTGCTAAAAGCTAGAAATACTTCTAGAATATAAGTATATTTAGGTAGTTAATGCCTAATAGCGCCTAAGTAAAACTATATATTTTCTTTAATTACTTAGTTCTTAGGCTTAGTCTTTATTTCGCAGTCTAGATAATAATTTAGTGCAAAGATATATAAAAAATTATATTTAGCAGTTATAAAGAGGCGTTATAATTAACAGTAAGAGAACTATATATAGAGAGAAATTAATTAATTATTTAAGTAATGCCTTTAATTAGCATAATAGCCTTTAGCTAGCGTAATAGCTTTTAGTATTACTAGTATAGTAAGCTAATTTAAATATATTCTACTATATAAAGAATTAAAGAGGCCTATCTCTAAAACTCTCTGCATTATGCTCTTAGAGATCTAGATTATATATAAGGCTATTTAAGATAAGATTAAAGATACTCTTTAATACTAAGTTAAGTAGCTCTAGTCTAGCCTATAATACCTTACTAAACTAAATAGCCTCTACTACTATTAATATATCTA